CGATTTAATGACATGGCATGCATGAGGTGATAAATATGTTGCAAGTTGTGGCTGAGGAATTTGAATTTGTGACATTTTTCAGGATTTTTCAATCAAGTCTGAAAATGCAATAATTCCAGGAAAATTCACATTTTCGTGGAATTTTCACTAGTTTTATTGCATTTTTGTAATATGCTATTTGATTACTAAAATTTTTAATTACTGAATTACTAAAAAATAGATTTTTCTGAGAGAGAACTCTTTCGTGATTGAATACTTCACAAATTAGACTGTTCCCGTCAGAATTTTGCAATGAAAAAAAAAATAATAGAAAAAAAATAACAACATTTTTCTTGCAATTCTCTGAAATTTCTACACAAATTGTGATCCCGCAAATGAACAAATTTTACATGAGAAGTTGTTGTTGGATATTTCATTTTTAAAAAATTTCGACAATAAATGAACTTTGCAATTGTCAAATGCAATCAACGAAATTATTTTCGTTAATTGTAAATAATTTTGTTGGACTTCCAGAAATAATTGAACGATTTTAAACCGTGAGATTTTAATCACTTCAATTTTACGGGTTCACGTGCCCCGTTTACTTCAGAAAGTTCAATCTCTGATCTGTCAAAGGGATGGGATGATCTGTGGACAAATGGGGAGGGAGGTTCACTAGAATTGAATAAAAATTCCCTATGCAAAGGGGTCTGCTCGGGAAAGGCTCTTGAGGTATCAATGGCGACTGCTTAGAGGCTTTCAACGACAGGTTCCACTTTTATTCCGGGGGGAGGCCCATTTCAGCCTCAGGTAACTCGAATGCCGCATTTAGTTACATTCGCTTGGTACCGCGGGATGTATACCACTCGTGCTTTTGACATTTCTGACGTTTCGTATTTTCACAGCGAGGAAATGGAAATTATAACGGGGGAATAATGTTTGTTCTGGGTGAATATTCATTTTACGTGGCAGTGAGAATTTACTGTGCTGAAATATTTGGCCCGTAATGAACATCATCAAACGCAATTAATAATCGAATTAATTACCATCTGAAGCATTAACTCTTAATTTTCTTTCAGAGCGGGTGAAAATTCCACCAATGTTACATGTTTTGGCAGTAGTTATTCGTTTTTTCTTATGTTCTGGTTATTTCGATTATTAATCACGTGTATAAGGTCAATAGAAGTGATTAATAATTGGGTTATTGCATGGAATTTTTTTTTATTGGATCATACAGCAAACTCTGAACGTAAAGAAAACAGTATAATTCACAAGAATTTTTGCATATCCAAGTATTTGGCTTTTTCTCCAGTGAAATGCTTTTATTTATGCTTTTATTTGAGCCCCATTTGACCCTAAGTTTCCGGACATTTCACAATGACTTTATTACTGTCAGAAAACAATTTAAAAATCTAAAAAAAAGAGAAAGTTTTCTTTTGGAGGAAGATTGATGAAATAATTGAAAAAGTGAAAATTGCGAGCACTTTCTATAAATAATTTATCAATAATCCATTTTTCCCTATAAAAATTATTTATTTGGAATCGTAACAGATTTAATAATAATTAGTAAAAAAAAATAAGGTTTTTCTGAATGTTTGAACAATTTCAACTATTTATTCGTAAACAACGAATTAAAAAAAATAATAATTGGTGAAATCAATAAAACTGTGTTATTGGTAAAACTAAATATGTTATTGGTAAAACTAAATTCTGATGATCACAACAAAAATTTAATTTTGGTGAAAGATTAAGTTTCCTTCTATCAAGGTTGTTAATTTCCCTCAAGTAAACCTGTTCCACTCCATCAAATATTCTCACGTAGAATATATAGTATTTCGGCAGAGAAAATTGGATGAAAAACATTTAAAATTTTAACAAACCAATACATTCCTTCCAATTAACGAAATAAAACAATAGTTTTCTCACGCACTTGTCACGCAGAAAGGAGCAGCATGAATATTCAATCCCCAAAATCCAACTCAGGGAAAGTGATTCATTCAAGAATGCAGTAGTAAACAATATGCATGGAATCGTGATTCTAGTTCTCGGTCAGCGGCGCAACGTAAAATTTGTGTCAAGATCAACACACGTGGGGGTGTGGCACGAAGGCAAATTAAGCTAATTCAGACGGCAGTTGGAAGTTGTTCTGCTGCCGAGTAACACCGGAGTTATAAATACCAGATGCATCGAGATTCTTCGAGTTTTCCCCCAGTCTGTCTTCCCCAATTATTGTCCCCCCAATTTTTATTACCCATAAAGCCCTGAGCGATAAAATTAAACCCAGTGGAAATGTTCGATGAAAATGAATCCTCTGCTTTTGTGGAAATTTACTAAATTCACGTGATGAAAAAGTATCGAATATTCGATTGACGGTTGAATATCGAATTCATTTATGTGATCGTCATGGAAATTGGAGTTGCGGGGG